GGTTAAGTATTTACAGAGTTATAGCTATCTTTAGTGGTAGGTACTGTTCTCTGTGAGCAGTTTTGTCCGATACTGTACAACAAAGCGCTGTTATATCAAGCAGCGTTGTTTGAACGCCTAGCGTTCTGGTCTATAACCTTGGTGTTAGAGTTTGAACGATTCAGTATTTGATGCTGTTGAGTAAGGGCCGAAACCGTGTACTCACTTCAGTAAGCAGTCGCTCAAGGGTTGCCACCTTTGTTTGAAGACTTTCCACCTTCAAATTTTGCTCAGCGACTTCGCGTTTCATGTCACTGTTATTCTTCTGAAACTTGATGCGCAATAAGCCTGCGCTTTGATCCGCCATCTGCGTTTTTGCCTCACGGAGTTCAACTTGGGTGTTAGCCAGCTCCGATGACTTGTCGGCCAGTTCTCTCGTGACCCGTGCAAGCTCTTCACTCATCGCCTTGATCTTCTCGTCTTTCACCGCCAATTCTCTGGAAATCTTTTGCTCCTGTTCTCCTATTTCATCACTTGACATACTTTAAGATTCAATGGCAGACTCGACGCAAAAAAGGTTACCTAAGGTGTTCAAATCGCCATCTGTTGTTGGCCTTCCACCCATACGGAGGATAAGAATGGATCTGGATTGAGAACCGGATGCTTTCAGTTGTTCCACCGTCCTCGCAAGGTGAGGAGGGGGCCCATGAATAGCCTACATACCTCAGTCCCATCTTGCTTTGTGCCCCAGCCAGATAAATCGACGATACGGTCCGCATCTGCGTGTTTTATGCTACCACAAAACCATCAGCTATCATCTTTTGACACTTTTCCATCCGAAAGACGGGATCTACAAATACATATTATGGTCCTGACTCTCTTGGTTTACCACCCACGTGGTTGGATAAATCTCGGCATACACTCTAACGGGTATTTCATCCTTGGATGTCTCGACCACGCATAAATACTGGCCAGTTTGGCAATTCTGAATTCGAAAGCCCGCCCCAGAGGGCTGCAGGTACCACTTGCATGCAGTATATTATTAAAATTCACGCGATTCATAGATCGATAGCCAGATCACCTACCTGTTGGTCCTTGCCGTCGTATTTATGCCAGCAAACTGCTTCCCAGTCGTTCCGGATCGTGATGCATGTTCCACTCTTGACGTTGATGATACTATATGTACCGGGTTTTGGCGGTGACATAACACTAACGTGATATTGTGTATAAAGCTGGTTCTGTGCAATGGTCTGGTCGTGGCCTCATTCAGGTGTTGCCACTTGTCATCACAAGCCACAACAACAGACGCCACGAACTGAGGCGCTTATGAGAGACATTTTTGGAACAGATTTGAGAAACTAACCGTTACTTATGAGATAAACCGAAGGTTTTGAGAATACAATTGAACTCGTGACCAAATACGAATGGAATTTTGCTCACATTAACAAGGTGCCACTGGTTGAGTGCGTTTCTCATCGAAAAACCTGTGCGGCTCAAATCGTGCGTGATGAACAGCAAAGTAAGCCTCCATGGTCTAGTAATTAGTATGATTCGCCCTTAGGGGAAAATTCCTCTAACTCATGGGCCGCATTTTAACAATTCATAAAGAGAGTCTGCATCCTCTTGGTTGCCTCGCACGTACGCAATCTATAGCTAGTGACCAGCGCCGAAAGAAGCCCTGATGGTCTAGTGGTATGATTCGCCCTTAGGGAGCTGAACCGTAGATTTCCCATTGGGTGAGGTCCCCAGTTCAACTCTGGGTTAGGGCCGACTCTTTTGGGCTTTTTAGAATCTCTAACACCCACCTCTTGGGGCTGAAAGTGCTCACGAAAGACAGAGTAGTTAGCGCCAGTCCTGATTTGACTTGAAACCAGTCGCACCAGGTACCGTATTCAATTCGCGTTTGAGGCCAGTCTCTTGCTGATCTTATTTGCGCCTGAATCTTAGTTCAATAACAGTAAATACCCCAGAGCAACTTGGCTGGGCGTGATGATAGCTACAGTATCGGACAAAACCGCTCACACGGAGCAGTACCTATGACTAATCTTAGTCATGTCTCTGTGGGTGCTAGCCCTATGAGCTTGTTTGATGTATCGATTAAAAGCCACCTAGAAGACCTACAGAACGCATATAAGTTCACTTAGATTGGTTCAGAATCCATGGAGTTACAGAGGATACAAGTGTGCTGGTCTCTGTGAGTAGTTTTGTCCCTACCTGCACAGTTTTCTAGTATGCACCCAGCACTCTGTACCCAGATGGGCCAGATACTTTTTAGGAGTGTGAGTTAATAGAGCTGCATAAGTAGTCTTATGTTTGGGGATTTTAAGCTTCCCAGCTGATCTGCTTTGGGTGGATGAGTGTTATGTCAACTGGATGGATGGATGTCAGTCATTGAGCTCCCCTATGTACCAGCATGCGCTCTGAGAGGCAGTTTGACAGCACAGGGAGAGATATTTGGGCCTCTATGAATGCCTGGATTAGTTTTAGGGGCATAGAAGTATTTTATGAGGTACTTTGCATAGTGTAAGGTGCGCATACAGGGGGGTTTGAGCGCATACAATCACAGTTTGCCAGCTACAGGGCAGTTTCAGATGTCCAGAAATGTGCTCAATGTAGTGAGAGATGGTGCTGAAGGCTAAATCAGCTGCATAAATGAGGCTGCAGGGCTGGCAACAAGATCAAAATTGGGCTAGAGAGGGGTGGTAGGATGGATTGCAGCCCAGCCTACCTACATCAAGCCACTACACCTTCAGAATCA